ATGTATAATTATTATACTTAGGCATGTCGTATATGACCATATTTTCCCTATGCCATTTGAACTTATGCTGATGATGGATATATGATAGATCCGAAACATGTCCAACCCCCCTTCCAACCGATTATTTTTGTAAAATAAAGAGTGAAGATAGACTGTGAGTTTACTCCAGTTCTTTAATTGACTAATAGTTGTTTTTTTTACTCCATAGGTTGGTAGGACAGAGTTTAGAACTGTTTGAGAAGTTATATTTAGGTAGGTACTCCATAAGCGTCACAGAGAATATGATGTAGGAGTTTTACCAAGTAAGAAAAAAGAAAACCAATTAGTGGTGCCCACGAGAGTCTTGTTTTCGAGAGTCTCACACGGTCTCGTCTCTTTTTCGGGACAAGACTCGAGACGATACTTGGACAAGACGAGACGAGACTTTTATTAGTCTCATCTCGAGTCTCGCAGGTGAATATTTCTACGTGCAGACAAAGTTCACAAAAGACATGACAAGTAAACATCTTGCATGCCAATTTTAATGCGATAGAATGAAATGTCTAGAGAAAGTCTGAGGTTGAATAGAGAACGGAAACGATTTCCCCTGTTCCACCTCTAGCATTACCAGCGCTTTTTGCTGGAGGGAGCAGGAGAAATCGTTTTCGCTCTCTATTTAACCTTAGACTTTTTCTAAATATTTCAATCTATCGCATTAAAATTGCAATGTAAGATGTTTACTTGCGTGTATACAGCCGCACTCTAGGGACACCGTTATACGCCTACCCCCAATGAACTATATACTAAACGCAACTGGAACGGCAACAAAGCACAAAATTGTGTAACCTTTTTGGTTTTGTATACCCATCCTTGTCTGACTCACGCAGTATGCATGACATTGTTGACACAGACAAGGACTACAAGACTACAGTCTGTCTTTCTTGACAGAAAGGTTATAGCTTTACCAATGGTGTGTGAGTGAGCGTTGCCGTTCCAGTTAGGTTTAGTATAAATTTCATTGCCTACTCCTTCCTTTAGAACGCTGTTAGGAATCACGACCCATCGTACAACTTCCCAAAAACAAATTAAAATAACCTCAATTTTCCTAACCCCCATGAAACACCGAAATATATAGGTAGTTGCATGAGAGGACAGGGGATTACATTATAGCAAGTAGGTATAATACTTTTAATACCCATTTGGAATAACCCCATCCTTGTTTATCAATTATGATCATCAGATGAAACAAAAAATGACCAACCAATCACAAATCACTAAAACGACTGGTACTTTTAAATAGGTATCAAAAATACTATAAGTATTCCGTACCAGACTCTAAACTTGAAAAAGATTATGCATGACGAGATTGCGATACATTTACGAAACTTTTGTACGAGACGGAGACGAGACGAGACTCAAGGCTTCCAGACAAGACTTGTTATTTCATCGACGAGACGAGACAAGACTTTATGAAAGTTGGTCTCGTGGAAATCACTAAAACCAATGATATTTACAATGCTATAAACCCAAAGACATTACAACTATAAACCCTACAAGAGCTTTTGTCAGATAATGGTGAAAATTGTGGAGACCTCAAAATTGTTGACGCATGCCAGACAGAATGTCTATTTGATCGAAGTTATACATCTTAGATAGAGCAAGAACATCAACTCAGAAGTTGAAGAGCCCGCCAGCTCAGGAAGATGTGATTTTTTGATTGGTGCAAAGTTACTACGGACAACAGGGCGTTTTTCCTTAACATCATTGAGTTCATTAGAGATGCAACTTCAAACTGCAAGATCGAGTGACATGAAAAAAATTCCAAATTTCGCGATCTATTGAAGAAATTCAAGAGTGTTGAAGATTGCCCAATAATGAACTAATGAACATAAATGTTTCGACAATATCGAAACCAAATAACAAAACCAAGGGGCAAACCACCTAGGAATTCGTAGCCGAAACTGTGGGCAATTTAGAGAAATTTGTGGGGAATTTGGAAAAATTTGTGGAGAATTTGAAAGAATTTATGAGAAATTATAGGAATGTATGAGAAATTGGAGAAAGTTATTGGCTTTTGACTATCCATAATTTAAATTTGTATTTTTTGGACCGAATAATTACACAAGATTCACTATTAAAGAATATCCAGAAGCTGCTGAGCAAGTTTTGAAAGAGTTCCAAGTAGAAAATATTGTGGATTATTGGCAGTGGCGTGAATTTTCTACATCGTTCTTTGCAAATAGTTTACATGTAGGTTTTCGGTTACCATTCGATGAGTAATGTAAAACATTTGTATTCAGATTTACATGAAAAAAGCCACTGGAATGCGCTCCCTATTTTCTAATAGGGAGACTGATGAAATATTCAGAGTTTTACGTTGGTTTAGCGTCAGTTCTGACAACACTGTAGCTCATTGGACTTTTTTCTGTCCACCACCCCGTTTCGCTCAACCCCCTACAGTCCTGCTGCCAAATTGTGCAATTAACGTTAAAGAACCAAATTATAATGGCACTCAAGATATAACTACTCATTGGGCGTCGACCGGTGAGATACCACCATGCCAGAATTGAGTAGCGCTAAGTGGTATCACCACGTTCCGCCACTGCGCTGGCAGTCCGGTTCCAACAATGAGTAACAGATAGCATGATGACGCCTCCAGGATCAAAATATTCCGGAGGTAAAATACCCGACCACTCGGATCTCCGGGCGTCGGGTGATCCTGGGGGTCCTTCATGCAAAAATATAAAGAGAAGATCAAAAACTCAACTCAGAATTGATTTTAGCAATATAAGAGGAATAAGTACAAGTATTCAGTTCAGTTCACCTGACATCCTTGTTCTCACTGAAACTAAAATCAGTTCTGCAACACCTATTGTGAACTATCTTTATCCCGGCTATGACCTACACCACCGATTTCGACATAATTTTGGGATCTGTGTGTACATTAAAAATGACCTTTCATGTCATCGAGAGGAGAAGCTAGAACCAGCGAACCTTGATATCATATGGCTAAAATTCACCTCAAAGTCATCGACCAAGTTTATCTGCTGCCTCTACCGACCGCCATCTAACACCGAGTACCAAAACTTTTTCGCGACATTATCCGAAAGCTGTGATAGTATATAGTCAAACTATCCACAGGCGGAAATTGTCTTTTTAGGCGATTTCAACGTCCACAATATACCCTGGCTGAAACACCACAACAAAACAGATAACGAAGGCAGAGAAGCAGAAGCTTTTGCCATAAGTTGTGGTCTAACGCAGCTTGTCGATGAACCTACCCGTATCTCAGAAAGGGGCGAATTTGCAGCGCTTTTAGACTTGTTCCTAACCACAAATCCTGACTCGTACACAATTCAAGTAGATGCTCCACTTGGTTCGTCCGATCATAAACTTATAATAACAAAGTGCGAAATGCTCATCCCACACAGAATTTATAGAAGCCAGAAATAGTTGCAAAATTACTATTGACTCCGCTAAAGAAACATACAATCAAAGAATAAAAAACATATTGCTGAATTATCCAAGTAGTTCTAGGTCCTTTTGGTCTCTTGCAAAAGCTGTTGGATCTAACTTCACCAAGTCATCCATACCAGCACTTACAGATAAAAATAATCACTTAGCCACAACATCAGAGAAAAAAGCCAATATGCAGGCCCAAATGTTTTCCTCCAACTCCAACCTAACAGTGCTAAACAGAAAAACTCCACCGTTCATTGAAAGGGTTTCCCATAGTATGCCAGAGGTACCCTTTTGTCACAGAGAAATACGAAAATCCCTTAAAAAGCTAGATACAAACAAAGCAATGGGTCCGGATGGCATTCCCGCAATAGTACTCAAAAATTGCGCCAACGAACTCACCTCAACTTTGGCAAAATTATTCAATTTGTCTTACAGGCAAGGAGTATATCCATCATCATGGAAGTCTGCCGCAGTACAACCCATTCCAAAGAAAGGAAAAAAGACAGATCCGTTAAACTATATGCCAATTGCTCTACTTCCGGTGATATCAAAAGTAATGGAAAGAGTTGTGAACAATCACCTAACCAAGTACTTGGAAAAGTACAAAATTATCAACGATAAGCAATACGGATTTCGAAAATATAGGTCAACTGGCGATTTACTTACATACGTCACTCACTTATGGCAAAAAGCGATTGAGTTGCGGGGTGACACAAGAGCAATTGCCTTAGATATATCTAAAGCATTCGACAAAGTTTGGCATGAAAATCTGCTCAACAAGTTCAAAGCAATGGGATTATCGCCGAAACTTTGCACTTGGTTTGAAAGTTACCTAAAGGACAGATCCATTTATGTTGCACTGGATGGCCAGAACTCCAACTCTTACCAAATAAATGCTGGTGTGCTACAGGGAGCAATCCTTTCGCCAACTCTTTTTCTGATTTACATAAATGACCTCATAGATAAAACAGCAAATCCACTTTATTGCTTTGCAGACGATGGCAATGTAGTCTCCTGACTCATACCACCCACAGGTCTTTCCGCACGTGAATTCCATCATCTTAGACTAACTCAAATATCGCAGATAAATAACGACCTGAAGATAATAGAGGACTGGGGTAACAAAAACCTTGTACAGTTCAACGCGCAGAAAACCCAAGCAGCTCTGTTTTCAAAAAAGACCAGCACCGGTGAGCCAAACATCATGCTATCTGGAAGTGCTGTCACATTACAGAGTCAGTTGAACATCTTGGGGGTTACTGCAGAGACCAACATGTCTTGGCAGAGTCACGTGGCAGATATTGCTAAAAGGGCGTCCCAAAAGCTGGGGGTGCTATTTCGTACAAGACATCTGTACACACCAAGCCAATTGCTGACACTCTACAAAGCCCAGATTCGACCAACTATGGAGTACTGCTCACATATATGGAGTGCAGCACCCAAACATACCTGAATGCTTTTGAACACCGTGCAAAAACGAGCTATCAAGCTGATCAATGACCCCGCACTTACTCGTAACTTGGATGGTCTCGAACATCGCAGATCTGTGGGCGATTTATCTCTCTTCTACAGGTACTATCACGGAAAATGCTCTGAAGAGTTGGCACGTATGATTCCACCGAGAGTAGCGCCTACCAGGCGAACCCGTCAAACAGACGGTAACCATGAATTTACTGTCAAACTAGAGGCACCAAGAACCTCATTATATCAGAATTCATATCTCTGGAGAACAGCATCGCTGTGGAATAAACTCCCTGCGACGGTTTTCCCTGCAGGTTACAACCTGAACCGTTTCAAGACCAACATACACCGACATTTCCGAGCACTCGCCGCTTCTCGAGCGTGATAGGACATTACCTTGCGAGTGCGCATATCCGTAAAAAAAAAAAAAAAAACTAGGAGAGGTTTGCTATGTTTGCCTTGGTCCGGCCAAAAAATGATCCTCGATGACGTTAGTCGTCTCTTTACAAATCAGTCTTTAACTTTGGAGTCTAGAAACTATTGTAGAGATCCTCAATCAGGAGGCGAAGGAACATTTTGTTATACTTTGGATCAGTCTACTACTAAGAAGGAGGTTAAAAGGGAGTTTTGTCATGTGAGGAACTGCATCAGATCTGATCAATATAAAATGGCTGGTACTGGCAATGATTTTATTGGACAAGTAGAAGTAACTAGGTGAGCTTGAGGCAAAATCTAAGGTTTTTAGCATTAATACAAAGTGTTTTTAATATTAGATCTGGTCGAAAATGTGATGCATGGGATGTTCATCCAGGAAGAGTCCATGAAAAATACATGTACGCTGTACGCTTGCAATGATTCAAGTTTTGTTGATATGAAATCGAAAGCCAAAATTTTTTGGAAACAATAAAAACAAAATAATTGTAACAGAAACTGCGCTAAAAGCCCAAACAAATACATATTACTATTTCCCAAGTATTTGTCATTTCAAATCCACCGAGTTCCAGTTCTCGTTTAACAAATAAGAAATCTGACTAATGTAGATTCATTTCAAGTTTATTATAGGTAGTTGGCCTTATACTCTAGACCCCGACATAGTCCAAGACGTATGTAACATTAAAAGATTGTGATAGGCCGGAAGAATTTATATCTAATAATTACTTCGACGAATCAGAATGGTAGAAAATTGTATATTCTGCCTCAATGGAAAGAGGAATGGTGGGTTGGGTTTTTTTTTTTTTTTTCTAAAATTTCGATTCTTTCTCCATCCATCTTCCATTCATCTTCCATCTCCGTCCATCTACTTGCGAAATTTCAAGCCAATCCTTCAAACACTTTCCTCAAAAATAAATAAATAAAACTTCCCTCAATGTTAGTGTTGCAGGTATTTCTTGTTCTTGTCTTGCTTTTTCTTGTTCTTGTTTTGTTCTTGCACGCAAAAACAAGACAAGAAGTGGATTAGCAAGAAATATACAAGACAAGAAACTAATGAGCAAGAACAAGATTTCTTGTGCAAGAAATTTGCAAGAAGCAAGACTTCTTGCATAATTTATTTTAAATAATATTAATTAGTTAGTTAATAAAAACTTATTAGCACAAAATTACACAATTACTTATAATATACTCGCATACCATTTATTGCAAATAAATTATGATTCGATGCGAACCCCGAAGAGCTACAGAACAGAGAATATTATGCTCCTGTTACAGAACTGGTTCGCATTGAACAAGCTCTCTCTAAAAACAAATAAATACAAGGTAATCAATTTCAATGCAAACCACTGCAGAAGTGTTATTGTTGAGGTAAATGGCAGTAATCTACAGGGGGTTAAGGAAGTCAAATCCCATCTAGCAATTACACAAAACTCAATGACACACATCGGACTTTGAGTTGACGTAAAATACAAATCTAGGAGCTAAAAAGGACTTACAATAGAGAAAGAGTGAAGATTATGACAAACCCTATAAACCTGTAGCAACAGTTACAATTCATAACTACAATCATTGCCATTAGATTCAAGCGGAGTGAAGCGAATCCATGTCTGTATGTAAGGAAATAGGTGAACACATACCTTCCATTGTTGACCCTTTATTATGTCGATGATGGACTACTTCAGCTTGCACCTTGCACCAGTCACAAAGTAAGAAATTCGTTCCTAGGAAGTCTGCAAATGAATTAGAAATCATACACAGTACACCTCAGTCAGAGGAATCAAAAAGAATATCACCCTTTCTGAAGGTAGAAAAACATATATTGAACGGAATATAACTTGAATCTTTATGTCATGCAGAATATGGAGGTAATGGTCGCTCTACATCTGGTTGCTATACCGATAACATAAACACCAATAACAGTAATAGAGTTGTTGCTAGAAGGCCGAAAAAATTTAATTTAAAAAAATTATTGCTGACCAATCATCATTCATATTCGAATAGAGTAAATATTTGTGTGTAATCTAATACAATTAGGTTATCTCTTCGCCAAAACCGTTAAATTCCATAGTCTCAATGGTACCACATTATTAAGATAATTTTATATAACACTCGCCGACTTCTAAACAGACCAGAAATTGCCCTGACACTTGTGCTTTTCCGACATTTTTATTTATATCCCTAACATATGGGTATAACAGCCTTATTTGTTTTTTTATCAAACGCTTAGTCGTGATAAGTGGTATAAGCACTTGAAATATGGATCCTTTTTTTTTGACACGTCGTGAATTAAGACTGAACATATCAATTTTTTTTTTTGCTGACGATGATCTGATCATAGTTCAGCTAAATATACCCAACCAAGATTAGCGCTGGTAAACGATATTTATCATAACACAAGCAAAACAGAATTCTTATCAAATATGAAATTGATGTTTTATCTTCTTTTGTTTTAAATAATTTTGTGAAGTTGCAACTTGGTTCACATCTATTGGAATTAGGTTTGATTGCAGATTTTTCAAGAAGATTGTTCGTTCATAATTTGGTTCGTATATGACCCATATTTCATTCCACAAGGGTTAATTTTAGGAGATTTTGCTTCTTGGTTTCTACCCTTTTCAAATTATATTCGTTGTATTTAAATTAAATCAACTTCCTTTTCATCTATATGTGAAACCTTCGTACATTCCCTTTCAATAATTCTGGTTTTTTTTCGTCTACTTAGGGCCAGTATTTCAATGTCACCTTAAGGTACAGAATAACGTTATTATTCTGTTGTTCTTGGGTATGTTTGGACCAATGAAACCAAGTGGTTTTGTTTTTTAAGCTACGTTTCGAAAAATTTATTTTCTTCTTCAGGCTGTAACCAATCGAAACAGGACAAATTTAGCAATAATAAAGAAATAATTTTCAGATAATTGAAATATTTTGAAGAATTAAATTATCTCAAAACAACAAACATTCATATAAAACAACAAAGATTATCTTTGTTGTTTTACAGCCTGAAGAAGAAAATAAATTTTTCGAAACGTAGCTTAAAAAACAAAACCACTTGGTTTCATTGGTCCAAACATACCCAAGAACAACAGAATAATATCTTCTTTACTGGACAAGGAACTGTATAAAAGAATAACGTTAAATCCTTAATACAAGTTTCACCGTATATCAAAGTTCCCTTAATTCAAGTTGGATCTTAAACCACCTGAATGAACTGATTTCAAGTTCACCTTAACGTTAAGGATACCTTAAGTCTTGATTTAAGGTAACATTGAAATACCGGCTCTTACTTACAATTAATTATTGCATGTTGTTTTCAACATTTTAAGCTTCTTTTATCAATAATTTCAGATGGGATAATGGTAAACATTCAATTTCTACACTTTGACAGAATAAGAATAAAACTAACTAAACCTCATAATATAAATGAAAACACCGACCCTCGCATCAAATATCTGCCAAACCATATACCTATACCAGAAAATCCATTAAATTCTTTCACATAATGCAAAACACATGTCCAATTTCGACCTGCTGCTGGCTGGCTGCATCCTCTTCAAGAACATATACATCAATACCTTCGCGTTGTCATCTTTTCAAAAAATATATTAGAATATTTCACACCCGTTTTTACGAAAATGTTTTCGGGGTGTGGACGTAGCATTGTCACCCCCGAGGGTACACAAAAGGGCTTCTTCCTGCCCGATGTGGCCTGTCGCGCCCTTAAAAAGGCCTCTTTTAAGCCGATTAATGTAGGGCTTGTTCACGTGATGCTCGATCCCTTATCGTTCATTGGCGCGAATAATATGGGGGATCATCCCGGATTGATCTGATAAAATAAAAGTAAGTGGATGTATTTTTTTTTTGAGTATAATAGGCTCAAGGGAGAGTTCATAGGCCTTTTGTAAGAATTACCAGTTCAACTAGAAACTTGGGAATAAATTTCGATAATCATAACTAATCCAAAGAACCAGATTTTGCTCGACCACCGTCGTCACAAGTAAGATTTTCTGTACAAGGACCATGTCATAAAATCGCGGTCGTAAACTTCAACGAAATTATTACGTTTCCTATATGCCCAAGTCACTTCGCGGTCGATTAAACACTGCAGAATCGTGTAGCTATTAAAATGGCGAAAATTGTTTGCATCCAGTTACGAAACCTGTTGGAGTGGGCATAGATTTTTTTCTTATTTTTTGGGTTAAATTTGGTACCTACCAACTCAAAGTTGAATTTTCAACTTTATAAACTAGCTAGATATCTCAGAAACAAATTAGTCCATTAAACAAAAACTAACCCAAATAACCCATTCAGGATCTAAGAATTGTTAAACGTTGTACGTTGTATTAGAAATTGACTATTTCAGAGAAAAATAAAATATCTGTTGATTATGAACTAGCTTTTAAAATGTCAAAAATCCAAAAACCATAGATTCCCCTGTGACAAATGAAGATCCTAATTCAAACTATAATTCGAAAAAAGACACAGAGTCAAATCCATAAAACAAAACGGCTGTACGATGTCTTTGGGCTCGCATGCAGGGACTTTTCTCTTTTTATCTCACACCTGACTCGCTGGGTGTTCCGTGTAGTTGATGGTATCGAAGCCCATTTGTTTACCAGGAGGTTTACAAAACGACACAACCACAAGACAGATTTAGTAAATGCGAGAGGCTCGGCTCTGAGGATGAGGAAATAGGGGCACATTGATTTTCGGATTCTTAACATTGTTTTTGGTGGGTATACCGGATGGATTTTAGTTCTTTGTGAATCGGGGCAAGAATGCAGCAGGGTACTCCGTGGGTTGGTTTAATTTTTTTTAAAATTCTTCTCAACTATTGATGCCTACTTTTTATAAGCCAAAAACTTTGGTACACTAGAATTTTCTGTCAGTTCTTGTTTACTCATTGCAACATTTCATTTAATTGATGGTCCTTTGAAACCTATTAAGCGTCAGAACAAACCCTATTTCAGTCATATATAGAAAACACGTAATCTAACACATTTTCATCTAAATTGCGTATTTCAAAGTCCCTCCGATAATTAACGAGAACATAAAAAGGTACGACAGCAATAAAAATCATAACCCAGACCTGGGCAAGTCGACTTTTCAAAGGTTAGAAGAAGATACTAATCGGAAATTAATTTTTATGTCCAAACGTTGTTGGCGTTGACCCGAAGAAGCACCACACGCTGGGCCGTATTTTCAGGATTTTTTGTGGAATTTTGGTTAATGGGGGATTTGTTGTGTTTGTTTTGATTGAAGATCAGAATCAATCTTTTGTTCTTCACAGACAAAAGAAGAAGATATTGCAAGATTTAACTCTAAATTTCATGTAGGTATTGAAATTAAGACTTTTCATCATTTTTGCGGTGATCTGATAGAGAAGTTCAACTATAATTTTTATAGCATTTTCTCGCTTAGTTGAAAGCATCAGCACAATTTTTCAT